AATCATAAATAAGAGAAAATACATTTACAATACCGTATTCTATTTCTCGGGAAAAAAAATCTGCACAAATGGACCCATGCAGTTCAAACCCATGTTGTTCAAAGGTCAATGGTATCACCAGAAAGGCAAATAGTGTCAGATTAAAGAGAGCCTAGACTGCAGGCTGTAGGATAAGAAGTTATTATTCAGAAAAGATGAACCCAGAAAGCCCTATAGGATACATAAGTGATACAGCACACATTGCACAAGCAGGGATTATCCAAATATATGCCCATTAACATTACTATGTATAAGTGAGTAAGAGCAGGTTTTATTCAGGGAATCAAGTTATGATGTTTTATAATGACTAAAGGCATTAAGTGGATTGAAAGTGGTACCAAAACCCCCTGAAGGAGATGCACCTAAAACTATATCCCCTGTGCATGATTGTGATGCAGTCGTCCTTGTCATATAATAAAAGGTAGGGCAAATTTGAGGACTGGAAAGCTCCTCAAATTCAGAGAAATTGATTTTTTATCTCTACTCTATGGTTTTAAAAGTACTGTTTAGGTTTATTGAAAAAAAAACAAAACAGAATAACAATTATCCAGATAATAGGCCACTTAGTAGCTGAGCAGTCAAGAGCAACAGGATGAAAATGAAAATGTTTCACCGTTTGGCCAGCAGGTGGCACTTGTCACTCGGTATAGAAAACAGCAGGTACTGAGAAATGAACCTGAACCGCCGCGTTAGGGACAGATTATTCATTCATCTCTCCAGAAAGGAGAAAGAGTGGACCGCGCTGTTTCCGAAGCACAATCTATAGGGAGGGTCTTGGGTTGCTGACACAGCTCATCGGTTTACATCTTGAATCTGAGCTCTCCCGTTAGGTTACTGAACTTAAGTATTTCCCTGAACAAATATGTTTTGCAGTTTATCAGTTTGTTGCCTTTGTAAGTGTTCTTAGGTTTCTGACTGTATTTACCCTTGAGACTTTGAGCAGTTCCATGCTGAAATTAGACAAAAAGGAAACACATTCCAACTTCATCATTTAAAAATGTGTGATTGATTCAGTTATTTAACCACTTTGTACTTCTTTCTTTTTCTATAATTGATACGACTGTTCTGTTGCAGGGATTACATAAGATACCATCTGTGGAAATGACAGCTTTGGATCTAGCTACTCATTTTCTCCTACAGGACCGGATCTAACCATTGAGATACCTCTTTTTCCAGAAGAGTTCCCTGACTCACTGTAAGCATCGTCTAACCAGGGCATCAGGTAGGTGGCACTCCTAGAACTTAGTCACTCGACACAGCGGTAGGGTGCGTGAGAGGTAGAGAAGGGGCTGTAGCTGTCTGTCCACTTCACATACTTCTACCATAAAACTCTCTCCCCTAGGGACGCCTGGGTGGCTCAGCGGTTGAGCATCTGCCTTTGGCCCAGAGCATGATCCCGGCGTCCTGGGATCAAGTCCCACATTGGGCTCCCCGCAGGGAGCCTGCTTCTCCCTCTGCCTGTGTCCGCCTCTCTCTGTGTGTCTCTCATAAGTACATAAATCTTTAAGAAAAAAAAATCTCTCTCTCTCTTACCATTAATCTATCACTCTTGCTTGTCCTTAACACAAAACCCACAACCCCAGAATCTAAGGTCCAGAAAGGGCTTTGATTTACCTAATCAACTTTTCATTCTCCAGAGCAGGATGCCTTCAGCCATGAGAGATAAACTACAAGACAGTAAGAAATGGGATGTGCAGATTTGGGTTATTTTTATATTTGTTTCCCAGTCTAGTCAATGGATAAGTAGGCACTGGTAGTGGGAGGCAGGAAGAGAGAACAAGAGGGAGCAGACCATTATTACATGGCATGCGCCTTATTATTTCCCGATATGGAGAGAATGGGCACCACCAGTACACATAGTGAATCATGGCAACACACTAGCCAGTTCCCGATTTTCCCGTGGTGTCTACCCTACACCTGAATCATGCCTGCACTGCACCTGAACGGCACTAGTGTCCTGTTTTTCTGGCTTTCCCACCCCTGCCTGTGTTGCATTCTAACGGAACTTCTTTTAAAAGACAGTCAGGAAGGGAGTAAATTCACAATGAATATTGGATGATTTTGAGTCTGGTTTCTGGCATCAGGCAGCTATCACCAAAATACAGTTTTTGAATACTTTCATGGGTTATTTCTGTGAAAGGGGAATTGAGGTCACCTTCTAGAGGTCTTCTATTCAGCAATTACTATATTTTATAATGAGTTTCATGTCGCACAGATGCTGAGTCTATTTTTTTAAAATATTTAAGTTTAGCATGTAATTTAAAAAACTGGCACCATGAAGGAAAAAGTCATTGTTAATCTCCCAAGTCTTCATTTATAATGTTTTTCTCACCTAGAATGCCTGCCCTGTCATTTCCCTGTTTACCCTAAATACTCTTCGAGACATAGTCAAGTGCCACTTCTTCTGTGAACCCTTCTCTGACTAAAGCTGTCCTCCTCTGGGATCCCTGGGTGGCTCAGCAGTTTAGTGCCTGCCTTCGGCCCAGGGCGTGATCCTGGAGACTGGGATCGAGTCCCACGTCAGACTCCCTGCATGGAGCCTGCTTCTCCCTCTGCCTGTGTCTCTGCCTCTCTCTGTGTGTCTCTCATGAATAAATAAATAAAGTCTTCTAAAAGAAAAGAAAATGACATTAAAAAAAAAAGCTGTCCTCCTCTCTCTGCGTAATAAACTTCTATTGTGGCTTCAGTTGTGATCAGACAAATGCTTAACTAGTATTGTGCGGTGTGGCGGTGGTTGCTAATTTCCAAATAGCTATTAGGCTTGGTCCACAAAAGGACTGTTTATTATCTGAGTGCATGTTCTATTTATTGATCCAACAAGTATTTACTGAGTACCTACTGCTTGCCAGGCACTGCGTTAGGTAACAGATTTACGGTGAACAAAACCAAGACTATCCCTGCACTCACAGAGCTCACATGGTGGTATCAGGGGTACTCTGTCTTCCCCACAATTCCTGGCATGGGACACACCCAAAGGTAAGTATGTGCTCAATGACAGCCTTAAAATTAACAGGTTGCCTGCCTATGGTTGGCAAATGCTAAACAAAGCTTTCCTTGATGACCACAAAACCAGGGTCAGTTAAGGGCACAGAGTGCTGAAAGTGAGTTGAAGACACTTGGATGACCTTCATGAAAAGGGGGCAAGGGAGGAGGGTGAGGATTCTTGGGTCCTTTGGACTGATGGGAACAAGTCTCTATGCAAATACTGCTAAGCTTGTTTACATGTAAAACAACCTGAATCTACAAACCTGGCTCAAGTTCTTATGAAAAACTCAACTACCAAGAAAGAAAGAAAAAGCAAAACGGATGGCCCAAATTTGTTACCCCAACAGCTACCATCAAAATCTCTACCTTAGTAATGAATAAAAAATTCCAATATAAAACAAACAAAAAGGTAGTTAAGACTTTGTGATTGGCACTATTACTATCCAAGGGTCAGCAGCGACCTCCACAGAAAAGAAAAAAAGCATCCAGAGACTGCAATAAAGACAGGCTCATTTCAGGAGAAGCCGTCTGCCTTGGCAAATCTATAGGGAGTAGCAAACAAGAAGCAAAAAAACAAATGAAGACATTCTACACTGGGAAGATCTGACTTTACCTACTTGTTTATTAAAATAACTGCAGGCTGTGATACCCTTACTTCTGACCTCTGTTATCAAACCCATGACTAGAGGCTCTAAGAACTGTAGAAAGTTTCACCAGTTTGGAGGGACAGGGAATGCTCAAGAGAACGTGTTTGCAAAATTGACTCTCGGTGTCTTCCCAAGAGACCCAGAGACTCCAGACTAAAAGGGAAGGTCAGGTTTCTTTGATTGTGGTCCTAAGCGGTGGTGGATTTGCATGGGAGATCCCTAGTAAAGTGGGAGAGGTAAGATGAAATGAGGTGGAAAGGAATCTTCTCAAAGCACAGGAATATATGTAATAATAATAATAATAATAATAATAATAAGGCGCTAAGCCTGAGAATCTTTATTCCTGCTCCATAAAAGAATTTCCTATTCAAGTATTTTACTTCCTGACATTTACAGAGGAGTCAATACATTTGGAAATGTTCTGCTGACCTCCTCAAGTTCTATTTGAGGAAGTTGACAGGCTATCCAATTTAAAAATGCTGAATTTGGGTATTGAATCTATAAAGTAAACAGAGATCTAATTACTATATTAGTTAAGAGATTAAAACAGTATTTCTGCATAGCACTTTTTCTTTCCTTTGAAATTGTCTTGGTTACTTATATTTACTGATGGTAATGCTTTATTTATTGAATTTTCTTAACAATTAAGTGACACTGAGTTCCTGTATTAATAGGCTAATATTTTTTAAAAGGACAACTCTTCACCTCAAAAGTCCACCCTCAGGGAAGAAGCCCAAAGAAATAAAAGGAGCCTAGCCTTTGCAATCATACAGACTTATGTCCCAGTCTTGACCATGTCATCTGCACAAGGCTCTCTGTGCATCTGCAGGGTGGAAACAGATCCCCCTGCTTCTCATGTGCATGGTCATGTGGATTGGCTTAAATATTACAGGTAGTATTTTTTTTTAAACTCTCCTCCCTTTCTGAGCCTCTGGGGCACTTGAGCTTATCTCTAGAACAGTCCTTAGAGCCAAAATTAAAAGAAAGGTGACAAGGGGCACCTGAGTGGCTCAGTGGTTGAGCATCTGCCTTTGGCTCAGGCTGTGATCCCGGGTTCCTGGGATCAGGAGTCCCACATCAGGTTCCCTGCAGGGAGCCTGCTTCTCCTTCTGCCTATGTCTCTGCCTCTCTCTCTCTCTCTCTCTCTGTGTGTGTGTGTGTGTGTGTGTGTCTCTCATGAATAAATAAATTAAAAGAAAAAAGATGACAAAAAAGGATGGAAAAAAAGAAGCTACACAAGTTACAGGGATAAAGCACATTGGTTGATTCACACACATAAAACCAACAGCTCGAGAGTTCAAGTAGAGTTTGGGAAGACTAAGAGCTCACCTGTGGCTGCTGTTCAGCCAGTCGCCTGTGGTACCTTTGCACCACCTCTTGAAGTTGTTTCTCTTTCTCAGTTTTTGATGGCGACACTGTGTTCATGGTGCCCAGAGGGATGGAAGGTAGGTGTTCTGCTTGACAACAACTGCACAATCAACAGGAGACAACGTCAGGAGGAAATAGAAAACTACGGTCAGGAAAAGATGATTTGCTTCTATAAACAGATACTCCTTATGCCTTATATCCAAAACTTGAATACGAAGCAAGAGCCGCGAGTTGATGACTTTAGGTAACACATGACATTAAATCTCTAGTCTGCAAGGCAAAGAGCTTAAGGGAAAATATGGAAGATGGCATATTTACAAGAATGGGAGAATATATATTCATTATTTTGCTAATGCTTCATTTATCCTGCGTTATCATGAAACAAAGCCTTTTTGCAAAAATGCTTTTAGATAATTGAAGCTTATCTCATTATTGCCAAATGTCTTTTTCCCAAAAAAAATTCAGATAGAAATCCATATGTCTCTCTAAACTACACCAAATAATTCTGCTTCTGAAACACACCGACCCACTGTGAAGGCTGACGGTGAAGCGTGGTGTGGGATGCGGTGCTCAGTGCCAGGCCCGGGGGTCACCCCTTCATCCTGGGTGAGCCCCGTGACCCTGGCTGCGGCACGCTCACATCCTCTGCTCAGCTGTCGTGGCGGACCTGCTTTTGGCAGCCACTGTGCTTCCCAGCCTTACTGCTGTTCGTTCCTAATCACTGCTGGGCTAACACACGTACTATAGAATCAAGTAGAATTGTACATAAGTGAACAACAAGCAGACTGTGGATGAGAGCCTCCCTCCCTCCCGGTTACATAAAATACTAATAATGACTTTTGAGACATATGGCTTGGGAAGTTCGAGGCCTTTTCTTTCCCCTTCTACTTTTGGTTCTGTGGCTGTGTTCTGGGGAGCTGAGTTAGCCAAACTATCAAGAGAGTGAGATACTATAGTTTCCTTTGGGATCAAGGCTTGTCAAGGATAAGATGTTCATCTCTCATCGGGCATGGCTTTTTTTCAGGCATGGCTAGGAATGTTCAGGAGTAGGGCAAAATGTCAAGCTCAATTCTAAGAGCCTGCTTTACGTAAGGGTTTTTCTATTATTAACAGGAACCAAAAAGAGGAGGAAGGGACGAAGTCTGTATGAAATGAATGTGCTATTACGCTAGGACAGGGAGAAGGAGGTTGAGACTAGAAAGAGGGCCTTCTCCCTTCTGAAACAGTGCAGGAAAAGCAAAGCATATCAAACCCATGATTTCTGTTTTTCAGGGCCACAGGATATATTTCTGTTCTCCCTAGCAAGAAGGAAGAGTGAGGAACTACAATCATATTCAAGTACAACTGTGAAAAAACAATTCCCACCCACATATGGTATTTGTTCTTATTGTTACTTTCAAAAAAGGTGGTAGAGAAACAAATCAGGGGACATCGACTATATATTTACAGCCACCTGCAGTATTAATTTGAAGGCATCTGTGGAGTGGGACCTATATAGGCTTCTATTTCATTTGAGAGAATTAACATTAACATAAAAACATTGGGTTTTTATTCAGAAAAGAGAAACTTCAAGTATCTTAATAAAATACAATCCTTTCAATTATCTTTAAAGAATTTTAACTTGCAGTATGAGCCATGGGTATTTTAAACATCCTTTTCACAATTCAGACATTTTTGGTTCAATCAAATGATAGGCATCATTTTTACCCTACTGGTGATTCCTATTTTCAAATGCAGATAAACGCATAGCGTGAATGTAATGGAAGTGGTACTGTGATAAAAAATGTCTAGCCTCCCTGTGTGTTTAAAGTGGAAAAGAAAAAGATTCTCTGGTGGTCCAAAAAAGAATAGCTTCATTTTACTTGGCCTGAGTCACCAACTCTGAATACTACCATTTGTAATACGGTGTTTTTTGCCACCACAGAGTAAATGACTGGCATTAGGCTTCCTAAAATGTAGAAGGATACCCTCAGAATCTAAAAAACAAAACAAACAAACAAGCAAATCAAAAGCAGGATCAGACTTATAAATATAGAGAACAAACTGGTGGTTGCCAGAAGGAAGGGCAAAATGAGCAAAGGGGAGTGGGAGATACAAGCTTCCAGTTTTGGAATGAGTAAGTCATGGGAATAAAAGGTATAGCCCTGGGAATGTAGCCGATGATACTGTAATAGTGTTGTATGGTGACAGATGGTAGCTACACTTGTGGGGAGCACAGCACAGCATATACAGATGTTGAATCACTGTGTTGTGCGTAAATGTTGTACACCTGAAACTAATATAACTGTGTGTGTCAACTAAAGTTGAATTAAAACATTTAAAGCACATACACAAAGAGGATGCCTTCAGGGAGTGGGTGTGATAAGGCAGCAAGAGTACAGGTTTGCATCAAAAGGCTTGGCTTCTAGTATTAGGTCTAGGGAGGCAAGCTGCACGAGTCGCTGGCCTCACTGTTTTCTCTGAGAAACGATGAATGCTCACACGGGTATTGTAAAGAAGAAATGAGGTAACATATGTAATTGCTATGTAAGAGAAAGCTGTTATTATGTTTCCTGCCCAAGTTCTGGTTACCTAGACATTGTTCACTTAAATGCTATTCCTTGGCATTAACCCTGCTGACAATTGGCAATTAACTGCAGACAATAACACTATACTGTCTGTAAACAGAGATGATGCTACATCTTACCCCATTACTCTGGCCTTTCATTTACTGAATGTTGCCTAATAACTATATTGTACTTCCCATCACTTTAATACACCGATTTTATGTGATTCTACTCAAATCCAATGGCATAGGGGTTGCTATTTTATGGAGTGTTCTCCAAGTACTCATGGTCCATCCTACCGTATTGAATTAGAGCTGTTAATGACTTCTAATAAAGGGAGTGTCAACTCTCAAGTAATTGCCTCATAATCATGTGTTTTTCTTTACATGTCTCCTAAATCTCTTACTGCCACATTAAGCATAGTTTTTATCCTCATCTTTTCAGTGGGAATGAAATACACATGGTCAAAATCATTGTCAGTATATTTCAAGAATCAAGGACTTAAATTATAAATATAGAACGACTATGCATCTTAGGCTTTGAAGGACCATCAGTTTTCTGTCAATGTGGCTAAATTTCTCTTGCCTGTCATCACAAGAAACACTGTTCGGGCGTGCAAAAAAGACAGAATTGATGCAGAACTGAAACTAATCTTGCAATGCTCTGTGATGGCAACACCACTTTTCAAGGAGAAGAGGCTGAGAGTCAGAGACGCCAGTTCACAGACAATGGTAAACTAGAGGTAAAGAAAGCTGGAGAGGGCAGATCTCAGTTCGTGGGTCCAATAATGCCCAAGGCTGGGCTATGAAATCATAAATATGTTAGATCCGTGGGGAGTGACCTAAACTCTCAAAGCTTATAACTAAAAAGCCCTAGTAACCACTCAGTAAATTGTACTCCTAAGGGGCTCAGCTGGACTCAGTAAAGATGCAAAAGATACTCTGATTACATCTTATTCTAAGTGATCGACAGCGGAGTTAAAGACATGTTCTGTTGCCTACCCAAGATTTCACAGCTAACGGAGCCAGAGGAATCAAACCCAGGCCGTCTGGCCCCAGTTTCAGAACTCTGGACTAATGCTGCATGAAAAGCTCTTAGCTTACAGGAAGGGATCAATATTAGTAACTATTTTTAATATTGAAACTGCGCCAATCTTGGCTCTTATGTGGGAGACATTTAAGTTTCAAGCCAGGCTAGAACCCAGATAGGAGTCACAGACCTTGGCCAGTAGCCTCATGAACAGGTTTCTTAGCCCCCGTTGGGCTTCAATTTTCACTTCTCTAAAATGAGGGAGCGAGGCTAGATCAGTATTTTATAATCATGCTCCCCAGGGAGCTAGGCTTTTTGCAGAGAGTATGGAATAGAAATGAGAAGTGGAGTCTTTGGCTCTCAAGATTCCCAGCTTCCAATTTAATCGGGAAAGTTCTGCATTTATCTTACACATTTGGGGTCTGGACAAATTTTATTTGGGGAAAATGAGTTCTGCTGCAAACCAAGAAACAAGAATAAAAACCCCTGGGCCATGGGGAATCTAAGAGCCTTTACCACTTTTGGCATTTTCCTTAGTCTCTAAATATGGATAATTTGGGAACTCCAGGTAGAAGGGGTAGTAGCAGCAGTATCTCAATGTTGGGGTGCGTGTGTGTGTGTGTGTGTGTGTGTGCGCGCTTTCTTTTTCTTTTTCTTTTCTTTCTTTCTTTTTTTTAGGGCTGGATAAAAATAACCAAACAGGAGTTATTACTCTAATGTCTATATTAGCAATATTGATTCACTTATCCAGGCCAAAGAACTTAGAATTCCATGGAGAAACAATGTTTGATTTAGGGGTGCCTACATTAAAGGGGGATCCTCATCCTTTCCCCACCAAAGAAAATAATGTAGGTCTAAAGGGCCTGTAATAACAGAGACATTCATCAATACTTAATCGGTCTTTTTCCTGTTTTAGTCTGAACTTCTTCCTCCAAGAGCACAAAGCAATGAAATCAATATATAACTTAAATAGAAAAAGCACATGGTCTAACAGGTTAGTGCCCCTGGAGACACCCTCTGGATAAGCCTCCTTTACGATAAGGCCATATGTTGTGTGAAAATGAACTGGAAGGCAAAACTCAAACACTGGGTCATGGTCTCCTGCCGGCAGAAGCATAGAGCTGCACATCCCAAAGTTTGCAAAATAGCTACATGCAGGTCTCTTTTATCTTGATGGAAAAGCACACTAATGAAGTATCTTTCCACAGGTGGCAAGGAGCTAGAAAGAGTTCACAGGGATGACAGCTATTAAGCTAAAATTTATCTACAGCTGACATATTCCTGTTTCACACATATGCATTTTAGGAATTAAAAATGGATTACCAAATTCTAGAAAACTATCAAAAACTACCTGTTTTCCAAGAGGTTAGGATTATTAGCACAAATCCAGAGGTCAAAAAATTCTTTTTCCTGATAATGAATAGAAGAAGGCAAGACTCTCCATTTAAGGCAAAGATCTGATAATGAAAACAAAATCACACAAAAGAAAGACCACAATCAGGAGTGAACCCAGCAGAGTAACATGTCAGACTGCACATGCCAATGACGAGGGCACCTGGCTGGCTCAGTGGGTCAAGCATCTGCCTTCAGCTCAGGTCATGATCCCAGGCTCCTGGGGTCAAGTCCCACATCAGGCTCCCTGCTCAGTGGGGAGTCTGCTTCTCCCTCTATCCCTTGCCCCTGTCCGTGCTCTTTCCTCTCTGCCATGCTTTTACTCTCTCTCAAGTAAATAAATAAAATCTTTAAAAAAAACAAAAAACAAAAAAACCCCTCGAACGTATGATGTACCTTTCAACCCAGAGACAAGTTAATCCATGACCACACACTTTACATCTGATGGCACAACTAGTCTAGGATTCTATCAGCTACCCCAACACGCCACAATAAATTACTGTTATTATTGTTGTTGTTGTTATTGTTGTTATTGGTTCAGTTCTTTCCAGCTGGTTCCTGCTCCTTTCACCCAGAAGAATCTTGGTAATAGGTCCCTCCCCACCTCTTCCTGAACCACAAGAAGACTTCTAGTGACCCAACTCTTCCATTTTCTCTGATCAACAATCCCTCTGCTACCACTACTTTCCATGTCCAACCACAAAAATAACATAACAAGGAAAATCAAGCTCTCTGAACCATTTACACAGTTCCTTGCTCTGCGCTTGTCTCTTGCTCTTACCCCATCCTCCAGCCTATTCTGGAGTTCTGACTTGTCTATTTCTTCCTTTCATTCCTTTCTTCCCTGTAGAACCACAGCACTCCAGCCTCTCTCCAAGCTCTTCTCAAATTTAATTCTGAATTCTATCCACACAGAAAGGCTAATGGCTAATGGCTCTTAGGTAAACGTTCTCTCTGTTCATCTAAGATTAAGGCAGTATGTACAATGGTTAGGAACACATAATGTTCAAGTCACAGTGGTAAGAACTAGAACAGCTCAACCACTTTCTACCTTTATCATCTTGGACAAATTCCCTATGCTTCAGCATCATCATCTGTAAAAAGACATTAATATTATCACTTACTTAAAAAGATCATTGAGGATTAAAAGATGTAATAATGATAAAAACCAACATTGCTGGGCATTATTTATGATGGTAAATTTTATGTGTCAGTTTGGGCCATGGGATACACTTGGGTATTTGGTCAAGCATTATTCTGAGTGTGTCTGTGAGGGTGTTTTGGATGAGAACATTTGTACTGATGGACTGAGTAGATTACCCTCCCTAATGTGAGTGGGCCTCATCTAATTAGTTGAAGGCCTGAATGGACACAAAAAGGCTTATTATCCTGTTATAGTAAGAAGGACTTTTCCTTCCTGACTGCCTTGAGCTGAGACATCAGTTTTTTTCTGCCTTCAGACTCAAACTAAAAGAACAGCTCTTCCTGAGTATCAAGCCTGTCAACATTCAGACTGGACCTACATCACTGGGTCTCCCAGTTCTCAGGCCTTCAGACTCAAACTGGAATTAAGCCAGCGGCTCTCCTGGGTCTCCAGCTTGGTGACTGCAGGTCTTGGGAGTCTCTAGCCTCCTTAATCATGTGGACCAATTCCCCACAATTGATATCTATCCATCCATCCATCTATCCTATTGCTTCTGTTTCTCCGGGAGAACCCTAATATGTTAACCTAAGAACTTTGTAAACTTTATATGTGTTAGTTCACTTTATTTACACAAAGCTGTATGATGTAGCTACAATCACTAACTCCATTTTATAACTCTGAAAAACTGAGGCTTAAAGAGTTGCCCGATTTCAAGTAGCTCTCAGATACTTACTGGAGACTGGATTCTGGAAGTACCCTGCACACATCAAAAACACACAGTAACTTTTAGCCATTATTGTTATCAACCTACAGGTTGTTGCATATAGTCATCAATTTCCTCAACTGTACCTTCTGAGTGTCTGTGTCATGTATGTTCTTCTTAAATAGCACAGCCACGCCTATCTTCAGACAATTACAATTTCTCCCCTGGACCCTGGACGATGCCAGTCAGCTCCTCACAGGTCTGACCCCCACCTTTGTGCTAGCCCTCCTCCAAATCAACCTGCATTGAGCTCTCAGAGCTACCTTACTACAAGTTACATATGACGCTCAGGTCCTCCTTAGACCACTCAGGGACATGGTGGGAGAGGTGTTCCCTGGGCCATAAATAACTACAGAATTTTGCACACTATTAAGCACTTTTTTGTTTGCCTGGCTGCCTTCCCCACTCAGTGGCAGATTCCTTGCAGATGTAAAGTGTCTTTAATTCTCTAACCCTTTGTACATTGGCTAGAAGATGTATTAGAAGCACACAATAATAAGTTTTCAATGCTTCAGTGATGTTGTTCTCCTACTGAAAGACTCCCAAAGCCTCATCATTACTTATCAAAGTAAAAACTCCTTACTCTGGCATTCAAGGCCCTCGAATAGGTTTGCTCAAACTAAATACTCTTGTCTTTTATTATTCATTCATCATTCATTCCGGAGTCAATTACTAAGTACTATATATTTAACACCATGCTAGATATTAAAAATTTTTAAAAACCATTTCTATTATTCTATCACAAAAATTCTAGCTGAAGTATATACACTTGATATTAACACACATTCCCCCACTACATCTCCGCCTCTCAAAATTCTAACTTTGAGAGATATAGAGGAAGATGGCAGCAGAACTGAAGGAGCACAGTTCTCACCTCATCCCATCACATCATCCTAAAATACCCCAGACATAGACCTGAAGACTGGCAGAAAAAACTCCACAACTAAAGGGAGAGAAGTGGCCACATCGAAGAAGCTAAAAACAAACAAACAACAATAACAACAACAACAAAAGCTACTTTAAAGACCATGGCAAAAAAATAATAATAATAAAAAAATAAAATAAAATAAAGACCATGGCAAGGGCTACCTCTGTCAAGAAACCTGGCCTCAACTTCCTCCACCTCCTTTTTTTGAAGCCTCAAATAACTTTATGCCTTTTTGACATCAGTTACCTAACTTTCATCTCTATTACAATTAGTCTCATACGTTTCTGAACCTTTCCTAGACCCAACCTCCTTGAAAGCAAGAACTCTGTCCTACCCACCTCTATCTCTCCCATAACCCATTTTTTAGCACAAAGACTTGCTATTGGGAACTCACTAAATGTTTGCTGATGGGAATGAAATTCAACACTCACCACATTGAATGATGAATGGGATAGCCAGGGCTTTTCGTCTTTGATATTGAATAGAATCTGAAGATTTCTCCATGTCTGTGTTATGCTGGTATCCAAATTCATTCCAAAACAATGTTAGATTTCTATTACCTTAAAAAAAAAAAGGCAGGCAAAAAATGATGAAAGAAAATTAAATCAATAAGATTAGGATGATAAGCAAAGTTTGAATATAAACACATGTATATACAATATGATCTCAACTGTGTAAAAACTAATACATATACAGAAATAAGAAATAAAAATATTAATATTAGTTTTCTCTGAGTGTGGGTGAAATTTCTCTTCTGCTTTATTCTTATATTTTCCAAACTATATAAAATAAATATATTACAACTGCAATATTTTAAATAACAAAATTAAACACAATAGCAGTTAGAAAAACATATACATATTGTAATAAAATATACTGACATTTAAAACTTTTTTCTTAAATACTCCCACAGAAGCGACTGTACTGATTAAACTTAAAGGCCACTCTTCAGACTACTGATACAGATATTTATCATCTTCCCTCACAGCCAGTTTTTTTCACCGTTATTATATCTCTGGTCTCCTTTCCAGTCTTTTATGCCCTACTGTTGCCCCAGATTCTATACTCCCCAAACATACAAAACAAAGACTATATATATATTACAACACTGTTTAAATAGCAAAAAAAAAAGAAAAAAAAGAAAAAAAAAAGAAAAAAAAAAGAAAAAAGGAAACAACATAGAAACCTAAAATAGGAAACTGACAAACTCTATTTCCAAACAAGGGACACTAGGCAACCTTTAAAAGAGGTAGTTAGAGCTAAATGCATAGTTTTGTGAAGATCTCTTGGATAGAATGTTAAGAACTTTTTTTTTAAGATTATCTTTTTTAAAAGAATGAAACAGTAGTCAATTTTTGAAATCTATAAAAAGCTTATGTATACACAACTTTAATGGATATGTCTTCCTATTCCTGAAAGGAAATAACAGAAAGTTTTAATAGTAAAAGAGACAGAGAGGCACTGGGGAGAGGGAGAGAAATTGAGAAAGGGGGGGGGGGACATTTCCACTATTCATTTTTCACCTTCTGAACACCTTGAATATTTTCACATGTGCATATATTGCTTTAAAAACTTTAAAAAAAAAGAATTCAGGTTTACCATTCTGTCCAATATGGTAACCACAGCCACATATGGATACCAAGCACCTGAAATGTGGCATTTCACCAATGTACAAACAGTGAGAATCTAACATACACACCTTGGAAATAAAATACATGCAGTAGAGCCAGCCGCACATCAGCCTTATCACATGACTGTATAATCCATGCAAAATACAAATAAATATCCCACACCTTACTATCCATGTTAAAGTTTAGGTTCAGCATGTCACATGCCATTAAGACCAGCAAGGAAGGAACTCAGTCTTCAAAAGAAGTATGAATTTGGGCCAGGCTGAAAGCTGCCCTCACAAATTCCCAGCTTTCCTACTTTGTCTCTTCACAGAACTCCTAGCAGCTTTCACATCAAATTTTGCTTCTTGGGATCCTCTCAACTCAAACTCTTGACTTTCAGCTAATTGCTCAGCAGTTAGTCTTGGCCCAGCCCAAACTTCACTTCTTCACTGCACACCAGATCTTGAAATATTCTTTGGTGCCTGGACAGGGCTTGTGAGACCTCATTCTCTGATTTCCACATGAACTACTCAGTTCTTACTATGTCAAAGTAAGAGGTGCTGCAGATTAAAGTCAGGTGGCTTCGAGTGCTGTCTCTGCCACACATCAGTTGTATAACTGGGAAGCTACCGAATTTTCTTATCATAAAGTGTTTACAACAACTTTCCTTACAGGGTTATCACAAAGAATAAATGCGGTGTATTAAAAACTATAGCATTCTGCAGAAATTTAAGACACTGCTGTATTATATTTATCTTCTCTCTAAATATTGCTTCCCCAAGGATACTGTACCTTTTCAAAGGAGGAACTGTGCTTTATAACTTTGCATCCCTTCAACACAGAGCTCAGCATCCTGCACATAACAAGCCCTCAAAAAATGTTGCTGCTAATCTTGACAGAATACCTTATTAATGTGCTGTGTGGGTTAAAATGAAGGTGAAATCATCTCTCCATGAAACATTAACTAAACACAGTTAACACAACCCAACTAACTTCTAAAACAAATATCAGCTGTGAACCCCAACATAAAACACCTTAAGGGTGGTAAAACTACTAGGATGTTAGAAATACAGGCACATACCTCTCAAGGGTGCAATGATCCCTGCTCTGTGACCATATCACCCTTTAATGCTCACGCATTACATTTTACTTTACTTTATGCCTCTTTTTCCCTCTAGATAGTGAAATCCTTGAATACAGTGGCTATGTTAGGATCTTGTTTTTAGGAGACACAGAGCTTAAGGTTTACTTATAAGACAAAATAATACTAAAGAATGATTGGCTATCAAAGCAGAAGACAGAGCACTCAGTAGCCCCAACATCATGAGCAGGTCTGATAGAAGGTATTATACTATTCAAAGAGGATATAAGAACAAAGAAAATAAAGTTATTCCTTCTGGGAGTCAGAAATGGCTTTTTCTAACTGTCAACAGAACTTCAACTCTTGAACTTTTTTTTTTTTTCAGATAGAAACTACTGCAATGTGCACAACTTACAACATGTTATTAAAACAAATTTCCAAGGACTGGACCCTTAAGACTAGGCAAATGCTTCAGCAAGTGGATAAGCAAGCCGAAGGGATGGCAGCAGGAGGAAACATAGTGCCAGTTTCTAATTTTTTTTTAATGAGTTACTCAGTCTGTAGAGATTTATACAGATACCTTAAAAAAAATTCCTTCCATACAAGGGAACCTCCACCAGGCTATCAGTGGCTTTTTCAGCAGAAATCTTGCAAATCAAGAGAGTGTGGGATGATATAATCGAAGTGCTAAAACAAAACAAAACAAAAACGACAACAAGAACACCACCACTTGCCAAGCCAGAATAATTTACCCAGAAAAGATGCCCTTCAGAAATTAAGGAGACACAAATAATTTCCCAAACAAAAGCTGAGGGATTCCATTACTACCAGACCTATCTTACAAGAAATGCTACAGGGAATTCTTTAAGCTGAAATGAGAGGATACCAATTAGTAACTTGAAAACATGAAAATATAAGATTCATTGGTAAACATAGGTATATAATCAGATTCAGAATACTCTAGTACTGTCTTGGTGGTATGTAAATCATTAAACTGTAGTATAAAGGTTAGATAAAAGTATTAAAAATCACTATAGTAATTCTTAGTGGATATATAATATTAAAACATGTGAATTGTGAAATAAAGAATGTAGGGAAAGGATAACAAGGTAGAGCTTTTGTATGAGATTAAAACTAACCTGTCATAAGCTTAAAATAAACTGTTATAACTAAAGCATGTGTTATGCAAGCCTCAGAGTAACCACAAAGCAAAACCTAGGATAAACAAAAGTAAAGCAAAACAAACAATAAAGCAAAACAAAAAGATAAAGGATTAAAAGCGTTAAACTACAGAAAACCATCATATTGCAAAGGAAGATACCAAGAAAGGAAGAAACAAAGGAGCTTAAAAACAATAATTAAAACAGTAAGATGGAGGGGCACTTGGGTGACTCAGTGGTTGAGATCTGCCTTTGGTTTAGTTTGTGATCCCGGGGTCCTAGGATCAAGTCCCATATCAGATTCCCTGCAGGGAGCCTGCTTCTCCCTCTGCCTATGTCTCTGCCTCTCTCTGTGTGTTTGATGAATAAATAAAAATCTTTACAAAAACTCAATAAGATGGCAATAATAAGTCCTTATCTATCAATATTTATTGTAAAATGTTAATAGATTAAATTCTCTAATCAAAAACATAAAGTGGCTGAATGGATTAAAAAAACAAGACCCAATTATATGGTAACAATAAGACACTTCAGTTTTAAAGATATATATAAGCTCAAAGGAAGGGATGGAAAAAGATATCCTATGCAAATAGGATTCATTAAGAGGAAATAATAATCATATATATGAGTGTGTGTGTGTGTGTGTATATATATATATATATATATACACATCTCCAATTTTAGAGCACCTAAATACATTAAACAAATATTAACAGATCTGAAGACAGAAATGAATGAGAATGCAATAATAGTAGGAGACTTCATTATCCCACTTTCAACAATGGATAATCACAGAGAAAAATAATAAGAAAATAATAGTGTACATGAACCATACTTTAGAGCAAATAGATCTAAGAGACACACAACATATCATCCAATAGCAGTAACATACACATTCTTCTCAAACATACCTGTAACATTCTCCAGGATAAATTATGTTATATCATAAAGAAGTCTTAACAAATTTACAAATACTAAAATCATTATGAAATATCTTTTCTGACTATAATACTATAAATGAGAAATTAATAATAGGAGAAAAAATTCAAAAACAGGTAAAAATTAAATAATATACTCTTGAGTAGCCAATGGATCAAAGAGGAAATCAAAAGAGAAATTTAAATATATATTGAGATAAATGAAAATAGAAACAGCACACCAAAACTTAACAAATGCAATAAAAGCAGTTGTAAGAGAAAGTTCATAGTGATAAATCTTTACATTAATAAACAAGATGGATCTCAAATAAACAATCCATCTTTCCACCTCAAGGAGCTAAGAAAAGAATAAATGAAACCCAAAGTTAGAAAAGGGAAGGAAATAGCAAATATCAATAGGAATAGAGAACCCTTAATTAAACTAAGAAAAAGAGTGAAGACTCAAAATCAGGAACCAAAGAGGACATATTACAATTCATACCCCAGAAATACAGAAGATAAGAGAATTATGAACAATTACATGCCAACAGTTTGCATAACCTAGAAGAAATGAGTAATTTCCTAGAAAGATACAAATGTCTAAGACTAAATTATGAAGAAATAGAAAATCTGAAAAACTGTAACAGTAAGAAGGTTTAATCAACAATTAAAAATTTCTCAACAAAGAAAAGCTCAAGACCAGATGGCTTCACTGGTGATTTCTATCAAACATCTAAATAACAATTAATGCCTCTCCTTCTCAAACTCTTCCAAAAAACTGAAAAGGAC